AATAAAATAAAATAAAATAAAATAAAATAAAATAAAATAAAATAAAAACAAAACCATCCCTACAGATGATAAAAATACTGCCCTTGAGGGCAGATTGACTTCTAAAATGGGGCAGATGTCATTGAACTCCAAGTGTAAGGAAGGAAGTGATCAAGCTGGCTGGACGCACTCTAGGCTGGACCACTGTGTGGTTGAGACTGCTTTTGTTGTGCAGGTCACAGATGGATTCTGAAGTCTGGAGAAGGAAGCTAGAGGGAAGAAGGCTCAGATGGGTAGAATTCGGGAAACCTTCAGCCTTGTGTGAGTCTCTACAGTATACAGGGTTCATAAAGGAGCTGTGGTGTGGGCGGCACACAACCCCCCACTTGCCTGTTACCCGGAGGAGCAAGGCTGGAAGACAACCCTGCCAATGGCAACCAAGGGATAGAAGAAATTTTGTAGTAGGTTGACACAGTATTTTGAAAACATGCTTATTCCATAAGGTGTTATAAAGAAATAGAATACACTTTTAGGCAAGCTTGAGTATTAGGCTTGCGAGATCTTGAGTATCTTCTAGGCTCCAAGGACTTAAAAGCTCTAACAACAATAAATAGAAAGCAGACATATTTTGATAGCTGAGTAGTACAATCGTAATTATCAAATGTGGGTTTCAGAACGACTACCACGTAGGGGAACTGTGTCCAAGTGACTTTATAGAAAAATACATTTTCTTAAGGAATGCTTTAGGTACAAAACCTTCACTTTAGAAATGGCTTTTAGGAGGGCTGAAGAGATGGCTCATCAATTTAGAGTACTTGGTGCTCATAGAGAGGACCCGAGTTCAGTTCCCAGTCCCGGCACAGCGTCTCACAAACATCTCAGCTCCAGTTTCAAGGAATCCAGTTGTGTACACACATGCATGCAAGCCAAGCACTCACACACAGAGATAAACATTGTAAACTTTCTCTAAAGACGGCAAGAAACGGCCGGGCATGCTGTCACAAACTAATCCCAGTACTAGGAGGAAGAGGCAGGAGGATCTCTGAGTTCAAGGCCAGCCTGGTCTACAGAGGGAGTTCCAGGTCAGCCAGGGCTGCACAGAGAAACCCCGTATCACTCCGTCCCATCTCTCCCTCCCAAAAAGAAATGTATTTATAACAAAAGCACAAAAAGGCAGGAATCAACTGGGCAGAACCTTACCTCCATGCCTATAAGGATAAAACTACTCTTCATAAAATATTACACTACTTGGGGCAGGATTCAATGTATGCTTTGCCTTTATATACTAGCCAGAATGACTCTCCATTATAAAAAAGAAAGCCGGATTACTTTACACTCCTGCTTAGCCATCCTCCTCCTCCTCCTCGGACTGACAAAGACCCATTTTCTTCAGAATAAAATACAGTCTTTCAATGGCCTTGCCTGATTTCAATATTTGGTACTTATAGTAGAAGTACTTATGTAAGTACTTATCCCTGCATAAGTAAATACCTGTAGTACCAACAATAAACGGTACTTACAGTATCAGTACTTAGTACCCGACAGTCTGCTTGTAGCTGTTTATTGATCCATTGTCTTCCGAGGGTAGACTGAAAGATTCTTGGAGATAACCCCAGTGTCACAGGAAACATCCTGGCACTTTGTTTAATGGTTTTTTTTTTTTGGGGGGGGGTAAGTGACTTAATTACAAAATTACCCTTTGAACCTGAGCAATAGTGAGATTCTAAGCACCCTGTGTCTGTACAGAATCCTTATATAGGCTCCATGCTGAATCTCACAATGCAGCATCCCAAGGGGAGAGGTAAGAACCTGGACACAGGCAGCAAAGGCCATGTTTACTCACTGACCGGTGTATGCATTTCTAATTATTTTTAAACATCTCAAATCTAGATGAAGTTTATCTTAAAAGTATTCTGCCCACCCCCTTTTTAATCTACATGTAAAGCTGGTGAAAAATGACGCAGTGGGGAATTTAATTTTCCAACAAACAGTATGTCACATTATTGAGAGTCATTGTAGGAATAAGTTTTGCTTTTAAAAGACAGAAATCAGAACATACTTCATATTTTGAAACACTAAACAAACAAACAAAACTCCCCAAAGCTGGAGCCGTCATGGGCTGCAAATGAGACCAGTTTTCAATGCATCACCCCAGACACTAGCCTTTCTGTTATCTCTCCATGCAGGCATGGAGAGGCATGACCCAGCGCTAGGCAAGCAATGCCTACTGCGGACCCCTGTGCTGTCTGCCCACCCTTCCTTTTCCTGGACGTTGGTGGCAGCTGTTTGCAGTCTGTTCCGGTCACGTGTTTACCCTTGACATTTTATCCTGACTCCCTCTCCCTCTCCACCCTTCATCCTGAGAGTTGTTCTGCGCCCGCCCGCCCGCAGGAGGGGAGGAAGATCTGTGAAGGTTTGGGGAAACTTAGAGGCCCTTTCGCTTCCTGCACCCTGCCCAGGGAGGCTGAATGGCAGCTCTGTGCTGGGTGTGCATGACACCACAGTTGGCAGGCCGCTATCAGCAGGGCAGGGACATCATGACCCCTGAGGCTGCGTGCTGGAAAGGAGACAGCAGAGTGCCACAGACACAAAAGGGAACGGGAATTTAAACCGTGAAATCTTTATTTCCCCCCCCAGAGAGGAGACACCTTAATCTGATACTCTGGGAAGGGGATCTAGCCTACATCAGGAAACAAAGAGAGCAGAGCGCCAATCCAGATGCTGCAAAGTCCTGGCAGGTGGCCCTTGGGTCCCACCCAGGAGCTGTGTGTGCCACTACTGCAGAGAAGGCAGTGTGGAAGCCTTCTGATTCCCAGAAGCCTCTTCTTGTTTTGTCCCCATGAAGAGGGGTAGGTTGACTCATCGCTGATCTGCCTCCAACTGCTTCTGAATGGCACTTCCAACAGGGGCACCTTAAGAGTCAGGAGCAAGGACTCCTGAGCAAGGGTAAGCTTCCTTCCAGCCTGCTAGAGCCCATATCCCGTGCCTCACAATTCTCCCTTCAACTGAATAATTTATTATGTTTTACTTACCAACTTTTCTGCTCATTAATGAAAAATATGTCATTGAAACTTTAGAAGACAGCTATTACCCACATTATGCTTCACCAATGACAGCCAGGAGCGTGAACTCAATAATTTCTTTCCACTAAACTCCTGCATATAATGCCAACAATTTCTATACAATTCGTGAGCATTCTTCCAAGTCAAGAAAATGTGCTTCTACATCAGTAGTTCTGAAAGTATAGTCCTTGGAGACTTTCTTAGAAAAGCAAATTCTTGAGCCCTATCTCAAGTCAACTAAATCAGAAACTCTACAAGCTTGGTTGAGCAATCTGAGTTTCAGTAGGCCCAATTCTGATGCAGAAGAGTGAGTGGGAAGCATTGCCACACAGTTTAAAAAACAAAAAACAAAAAAACAAAAAAACCTGCTTAGAATGCCATTGGATGGATGATGTAATTTATTTATCGAGGCTGCCATTGTTAGGCAATGAAGCTGTTTCCTTCTCCATGTAACCAAATACAATGAACAACACTGTAAGTGAAATGTGTTTTTTTTCCCTAACTTCCACAAGTAAAATCAGTGGGGCAAAGAAAATTCATAATTTAAAAATATCTGCTCTTCTGAATGAATCTTGGACCCTTTCCTATACAGTCCCTTGCCCTCTCTCTCTGTCTCTCTCTCCCCCATCTCTTTCTTGTTTGTTTTTTGTTGTTGTTTTGTATTGTATTTTGGAGACAGGGTCTCACTACATAACCCTGACTGTCCTCAAGCTCACAGAGACCCACATGTCTCTGCCCCAAAGTGCTGGGATTAAAGGCCTGTGCCACCATGCTGGGCTTGTCTGACTCCTACAAGGCTCCCTAACTCGTCACCTGTGGCTGTAGATTCTCAGCTCAGGTTCTGCTTCTTCTTATGCCCTGGTATTAGTAAGTAATCCTTAAAGAGCTGTGAAAAAAAGAAGGAATTCTCTTTCTTTTCCAGAATTTACACATATACAAAACATAGCTGGAATAAGCTGGTGCTCACTTCCTGTTCCCTTTTGTCCTGCCTGCTG